TAAAATTTATATAACTCGAATCAAGTCGAGTTGAAAAATTTTATAAAATAAATTTGACTCGACTTGACTCGAAAAAATGAGTTGATCCTTAAACTCGACTCAACTCTACTCATTTGGAACTCTAATTATACTCATAATGCAGATCTGATTATTGATATTTATGATGGGTTACGTCCTTCAATTGGCAATAAAGGTTATATTTATTTTATAACAATTACGATAAATATTATGATATTCTTCAGAAGTTTGCCTTCTTTTATTGAATTCAATACATGTCTCAAATTTATCTTTAGGCTTTAATTTACCCATTTTTTGCATTTGCTGACTTGATGTGTCATTTATATTAAAAATTCAATTTTATGTTTAAAGTTAATCACAGTTTGCATTTGTTAACTTGATGTGCCACTTAATAAGTCAAATTTACGTTTAATATTGGTTAAAATTCATTTCAGTATTCAAAGCACTACCTATTAATATATATAATTTATATAGGAACCTAAGCAATATATAAATAGGTAACAAGAAATCAGCACATATTTACTAATAGCTCTACACAAATCTTCAGGGCCGGCACTATGTAATGCTGGTGGAATAATCCAAAAAGGAAATGATCCATATAAATTTTGACTCATTCTACGCAAACTCAGTATCATTACCTTTTCATGTATTGTTCGGGATCCTCTTTATATCAAATAGAAATATATCCATTCCATAACTTCTATATAAAGAAGTTTTCTCATTCATTTCTGAAGGGTGTTTTCATTATTTTAGGCAATTATCTATTAAGTCTTTATGAAGGAAAAATTGATATGCACCCCTGTATTTTTTGCAGTGCGTTGTAAAAAACAACCTTTTAAAAATTATTCATTCTATGAAAATATCTTTTAATGTTATATCACTTATTCACATGGTTTTGTTAAATTTCTTTTATAATCAATTTCTTAGTTTGTAAATCTATTTATGTGGCAATATTTTAACATTATATTGAATTAATGACTAGGTTATCATTTTATTGTTATTATGTAAAAACTTTTTATTCAGAGCAAGAGTAAAGATGTTCTAACAAAAAAACTTTTTTCAAATGAATTCTCTATTGTTAATTTATTGTTAAAATTTTTTTTTGTATATATCAAAAATTAATCATTAGAATGAATTACAAAGTTAGAACTTCAGTTTTTAAAATCGATTTTCTTAGTTACATATGAAGTGGTAAAAACGTTTCATAAGGTCACACAAGAAAAGAGAATGTAAGTGCACTAAAAAAAAATTAAAAAAAAATTGAGAATATAGTTTAAAATTTAATACCGATTACCAGATCCATTGTTTCTGCGGTAGTACTTTGATTTAGTCATTTCAGTTGAGACTTTCTTTTCTATCAGAACTTTCTATTAGAAATTCAAAAAATGAAGTTCCTGCTAAATATGAAAATATGCCATTGGTTCCCATTTTTGTAAGTTCATTTGATGAATTTGATTTTATAAAAAAAAAAGAATATAATTTGGAAAATATTGTTATTATTCCTTTTTTTTAATAAAAAAATTTTTATAATTAAGGATATGGATGATGAATACGTTTTCATTCTTCGTAATCATTAATCATTATTTTTTTATTTTATTTATTTTTTAAAATAATTACATAATAATAGTTATATAAAAACTTTATTTATTCATGTAATTCTTGTCCCAATTACTTTTTTTTAAAAAAAATCATATAAACAACTGTTGTTCCTATCAATATCAATATTGATATTGATATCAATATTGAATATAAAAATGGACCCATAGTCCTGCATGAAGCTAACCAAATTTATACCTATTCCCTCCTTTTTGGGAAGGGCCATAGCTAACACTATATAAAGTGAAACCATCACCTTACATTAACAACTATATGTCATAAACTGTATATAGTGTTAAATAACCCAAAACTTAGATGCTCATAGTTTTAGTATATTTCCAACAAATTTCGTAAGAAATACAAATATAATAGTTAACATGGTTTTGTAGAATTATAATTTTTAACAAACAGTAAGTATATCCAAATGTTGAGAAATTGATATTAGAATTTTCTTATATCTTTAATCTCTTCTATTTTTCATCATAATTTTTTTGATCTTTGGCTTGGTTTCATTAATAAGGTCATATCGTACATGTGTTAACTAATTCATTTACCAAATAAATAATAATAAAATGTGAGCATAGCTAATTTTATTTCCAATCAACCTCAAAATCAAGGTCAATGTTACGTCTCTCTTTCTAATCGTTTACATATTGCATAAGTGTCAAGCATTTTATCTAAATATCCAATAAATTATTGGATTTAAAGCTCTTGCACAACGAATGGAATTTTTATTTCTGGAGACATACAGGTTTCTTACGAACCAATAATTAACTTAGGCACCACCGAAATTATGATGAATCTACAGTTCCTTCGCCACAATCGATGACCAAGTACGTTGCTAATTTAAATTATCCAGTGATAATACACAATATGATTCAAATATTCGTTGACTTCTTAATAAAGATTTTTATTGCATAAATAATAATTACTTTAATGATAGATCAAAAATATTACGTTCTTAATCTTTTGTATAAATTTTAATAAAATTGCTATTATTTAGTTTTTTTTATTTACAATAATATTTTTAGTTTAATGCTAAAAGTTTGTATCATATAATTCATTGATTTTCAAAGACCAACTTGGCTTTTCTTCCAAGTTGACTAAATACTTTTTCTATTGCTTTACAAATAAACCTATTTTTTTTTGTATTGTAATATTTTCATTATAGAAATTTATTAATTAGTCGAATCTTATTGCGGTATAGATGTTTAGAATTTAGTTTATTAAAATATCACACTAGTCATATGATCAATATTTGATGCTAGTATTTTTAAATGGACAGATTGGTTTTTGAATTCTATTTAACATGAAATTGTTTCACCAAATCCGTTAGAATATTAACATATCAAGATGGGAAGTTTATTTAACATAATATAATATAAAATTAAAATGGTATATGAAGTCGAATCCTAATTAAATATATTCTAACAGAATGTCTTTGGTTGAATTTTGTCATGAACGACGAAAAGAGCATTATGGACAATATATCGCTGCTTGAATTATCACCGAATACTTTTCTACATTTTTCGAAATGAATCATTCTTGGGATAATTATCAATTGAATCATCCTCAGCTTAGATATAAATAAAAGACTTATAAGAAAAGGATAGAATTCAAATAATTGACAGAATATCTTGAAACAAATTGAATATAGAACGAGAGGAATTAAACTATTAATTACAAATTGGTAAACTTTAAGGATTCGATAGAATAAACCTAATAAACAACGTTAAAATGTTGCTTAAAGTTATGTAATAATATATGAATAGCATAAGAGAGGTAGAATGAATTATAGTTATTATAGTTAGCGCAATTTATTCATATTTAAATCTTTTGAATAAGGAAATTTTGATATTAATATTTAAACTTTACTTTTTTATATATATTGTTTTAATCACAAAATAAATTAAATAAAGAAATAAATTAATGTAATTATTTTAAAAAGGAACTACGATAACTAATTAGGAAACCGTGGTGATAATTCTAGTCAAAATAAAAAATTTGATCGTACAAAATATTTTTTTTTTTTTTTTAAAAAAAAATATCAGTTACATACCAACCAATAACAGGTAGTATGACATACTAATCATTACCTTATCCTATTTAGCACCTAAAAAACCTGCAGAGTGACTCATTTTGAAGTCCTCCTTCCCAATATGCAATTTAATGGAACTTTCACCAATCTAGAAGGTATTGCGAAAGGAAAAATAGCAATTTTCGTAAGTTTATATCTTGACTCATTAAATGAAAACAAAGCACATACCCATCCATTCCAGCAAGGAGTCAGCATGCCACTAAGATAAGGAACCTGGTAAATAATCATTTACTAAAAGTCTTCGTCAAAGTTTCCTTAATAGATGGCAACAAATTGAGCGACCTCCGGCCCCAATCTGATCTTAACCCACGAAGTTTTGCGACCTTTTCTTGAAGGTGTAAACCAATCTTCCAAGGTACCATCATTGTAACCTATGGAATACCACAACCACAACGTATTTTGTAGGTGAAATACTTTTCATAGAATCCAACAATATAATTTGACTAGCGGTGTTGGCTTGGTATCTGTAAACTTAAACGATAAACTTTTAATTCAATCCGTCGAATTAAATACAAGACAATATC